CGAGAATTGGAACATTCCCATCTGCCGCATCAGCGAGGGTTCGTACCCAGAGATTTGGAAAAATCGGAAAAATGGGATTTTACAGTGTTTTCGCAATGTCATATCAATGTGTTCTGGATTGGCCAATCCGTTGTAAAATCATTTTTTTCCAATTTTTCAATTCTCAGGCGCCGAACCCTCGCAGGTACGGCAGAAAGAAAACACTGTGAAATCCAATTTTCCAATTGTTCCAATTCTCTCAGATGGAATCCTCATCGATGTTGCAAGCGGTTCAGCGCCACAGAATGGCAAAATTTGGAAAAATTGGGTTTTGCAATGTTTTCCTCCGCCGCACCAGCGAGGTTCGGCGCCTGAGAATTGGAAAAAATGGAAAATTAGATTTTACAGCGTTTCCTCTCTGCCGCACCAACCAACGAGGGTTCGAGAATTGGAACATTCCCATCTGCCGCATCAGCGAGGGTTCGTACCCAGAGATTTGGAAAAAATCGGAAACATTGGATTTTACATTGTTTTCACCATGTCATATCAATGTGTTCTGGATTGGCCAATCCGTTGTAAAATCATTTTTTCCAATGTTTCAATTCTCAGGCGCCGAACCCTCGCAGGTACGGCAGAAAGAAAACACTGTGAAATCCAATGTTTCCCATTTTTCCAATTCTCTCAGACTGAATCCTCATCGATGTTGCAAGCGGTTCAGCGCCACAGAATGGGAAAATTTGGAAAATTGGATTCTGCAATGTTTTCCTCCGCCGCACCAGCGAGGTTCGGCGCCTGAGAATTGGAAAAATTGGAAAAATTGGATTTCACAGTGTTTTCTTTTTGCCGCACCAGCGAGGGTTCGAGAATTGGAACATTCCCATCTGCCGCATCAGCGAGGGTTCGTACCCAGAGAATGGGAAAAATCGGAAAATTGGATTTTACAGTGTTTTCACAATGTCATATCAATGAGAGGTCGGTTCCAGACAACCGCCGTGCTGTCTGGAAGCAGTGCTCACGGAAGCTACACACAAGGGCCGCCGACGAAAACCATTCAAGCTTACACCCGCCCAAAATGATATGTAAGAAAAGTGTGCAGGGTCCTTGGGGGGGAACCCGTATATATATAGTATGTACGTACGTATGTACGTACGCACGTATGTATCTATGTATGTTGTAACCCGTCACTGAGTGCCGCACAGTGTGACGTGAGAACACATTTTTCCTTTGCGCCCGCGCGCCCTTCCAGGGGGAACAAAACATAACCCGTCAGTGCCGCACAGTGTGGCGTGAGAACAGATTCTTCCTCTGCGCCCGCGCTCCCTTCCAGGCGGAACAAAACAACATATTTCACAGTTCGAGCCCGCCTGGAGGGCGAGAGCGTCCACGCAACGGTCCACCGGGGCGTTCCGCCTCTCCTCCCCTCGCCTCCCTCCCTCCCTCCCTCCCTCCCTCCCTCCCTCCTCCCCACCCCCCCAACAAGAATCAGCGGCCAAGTGCCCCCACTGTGAGCGCCGCTGGGAGCCATGGTGTTTGCGAGGGGCCCTCGCCGGATCTTGGCGTGCTGGCCCGTCTCGCGCGCTCGCCCCTGCACCCGCCGAGGCCACGTCGGCCAGCACCGCTGTGGCCTTCGTTTTTTTCTGCTTCGGCTGTGCTCGTCGCGACGTCAGCCGTCGCCAGCGTTTGAGGCGTCTCTGGGGCGGTTCCGGCTCCGGCGCAACTTCTTCGAGTACAACACTCACGCACAGCATTTCCAGAGGCATCTCTCCTTCGTTGCGCTGCGTTTTCGACAACACGATACGTACTCGGATTCCTCGTCGGGTCTTGCGGTTTCGGTCGATCGTCTTGTCGCGGACCGTCAAGGCTTTGGATTGGTACCTTTGAGTGCGTGTGCGTGTGTGCTGCCCCCTCTTGTTCCTCCTCCTCGTCGGGTCCTCCTCGTCTTCCTCGTCGGTTCCCCCTCCCCTTCCACGTCCAGCCGTTCACACGCACAATTTGTCAGTCCTTTCTCTCAGGCCATCAATTATCGCATGAGCTTGCCCATGGCAGGTCGGCTCGTGTAGCGATCACAGTCTGCCTGACGGTCTTCTGCTTCACGCTACTGTGCCAGCCACGCCGTAACGTGATTCAATGATCGCTCGCTCCGCATCTACCCTCCTCCCGGAAAGGACAACGACGTATGAATGAAGGTGTGTATGCGTGTCTGCATGTATGCATGTAAACATGATTGTATGTATGTCTGTATGTGTGTATGTTTGTACGTACTCATAGGTATAGACATGCATGCTTGTATGTATGTTCGTATGTACGTATGTATGTACGCATGTATACATGAATGAATGTCTGTATGTGGGCGTATGTGTACGTATGCGTGCATGTACGTACGTACGTGTGCTCCTATGTACGTATGTACATATGTAGTATATATGTATACACGTAAGTACGTATGCATGTATGCTTGCATGTAGATATGTATGTATGCATGTATGCGTGTTTGCATGCATGTGTGTACTGGTTGTATGGATGGATGTAAGGATGTGTGTATGGACGTGTGTATGTATGCATGTAGGTAAATGTGTATGTATGTATGTATGTCTGTTTATCTGGATGGGTGGATGGACGGATGGATGGATGGATGGATCGATGAAACAGTGCGTCTGCGGACGTTGGGAAGGAGGGGGGGGGTCGAACCAGGGGGGTGGGGTCCTTCAAGGGGGGGGGACTGCAACTCAGGGCGGGGGGGGCTTTTCTCTGGGGGTGGGGTTGCAAGGGGGTGGGGTCGAACTGGGGTTGGGGGGGATGCTTGCTTGAGGGCGGGGGGCGGCCGAGGGGGGGGCCCCCGCCGCCTCTCCCCGCGGGAGGCCCTCGGCGGTGCGCAGTTGTGGGCCCGAAGGAGGGGGGGGGGCGGCTCCTGCTCGGCGGCCGCGCACGAGGAGGGGGGGGAGGCGCGAGGGCGGGCGGCCTGCTGAGGAGGCGGGCAGAGGAGGAGGGGAGAGGTAGGAGGAGGAGGAGGAGGAGGAGGAGAGGAGGAGGAGAGGAGAGGAGGAGGAGAGGGAGGAGGGAGGAGAGGAGGAGGAGGAGGGAGGAGAGGAGGACAGGAGGCGGGGGAAGGAGGAGGGGAGGAGGAGGTAGAGGAGGGAGGAGGAGAGGAGGAGGAGGAGGAAGAGAAGGAGGAGGAGGAGGAGGAGGCAGAGGAGGAGGAGGAGGAGGAGGAGGAGGAGGAGGAAGAGGAGGAGGAGGCAGAGGAGGAGGAGGAGGAGGAGGAGGAGAAGGACCCCCCCGAGGGGCTTCCGAGGAGGCCTTCTTTTCAAGCCGGGAGGGCTCCTTCGGGTTCGGGCGACGGGGTCCTTGTCAAGAGGGGGGCCCCAAAGTGTGGGGAGCGGTTCTCGCAATCGTCCGTGGTGGGTCGTGCTGGATGCGGGCAGGACACGCTGCAGTTGGCGTCGTCGGTCCGTGGGAGGGGCCACGCGCCATGAGCCGCAGGATGAACTACTATCTATTGCATGTGCGGTCTGTGCGACCTCAATCCAAAAGCCCCCCCCATGGCCGGGAACCGATTTCGAAGGAGCCACCTGGTCTGGTCTGGTGGGGCTTTGGAGGCAAAGAGGACAGGGGGGGAGCGTCAGACCCTACACCAGGCCGGGAGGCGGCGGGAGAGGTCGAGAAGGGGATCGACTTCCAAATGGATACACGCCAGAATTGATCTCCACGTCGCATCTTCAACACAAGTACTGAGCATGGTCGTAGATCTACGGACCTTTCACGCGAGCTCCGTGGATCCGACGAGGATCATATCAATCCTGGGGCAGATCGATGTCGTAGTCGACCCCCCCACTCGAGGAGGGGCAGCCGCCGTCGGGCATCGCCATGCCCGCTCCGCCCCGCGGCCCCGTCCGGCGCCCCCTCCCCGGGCCTCCTCCGAGGGCCGCCCGCGGCACCTCCTCTCCGCCTCGGTGTGCGCGCGCCGCCGAGCCACGGAAGCACAACCACCCCGCTCGTCAGAGGAGGCAGAGGCACCCGTATACCGCATCCCTTTCGCCCGTTTTCCCCTTTTTTGGGGCCTCCTGGGAGGCCGTCGTCGCTATTGCTGGATTCGCTCCGAAATTCTGGTCAGAACGCACCCCGGGATTGGTCCAGGGGGTAGCCGTACCGGTACTTACCACGAATTTTTTATGAGCCTCGGGGGAGCGTCACCCCCCCGACAGCCCCACATCGACCCCCGTCGCGGGCAGCCACCGCGCGCCGCAGGCGCTCCGAGCATCGTCGCGCCGCGGCGACGAGGCGAGGTTGACCCCACCGTCGGGGGGGGTACCCCCCCACGCTTATCAAGAAATCCAGCGCAGTGGTTTCCCCAGTTCGGAGGCCCCCTATGGCAGCGCCTCGGGCGCCCCCCTCGCCGTGGCGCGCCGCGCGCGCCAGGGGACGGGGAGGTCCGGCGCCCACCCCAAGAAGCCACGCGGACAGGATCTTCTGGCCTCCTATGCCCCGAAGAAGGAAGGGCGCCATAAACATGAATTTTGGGCGCTCCGCCCGGATTTCTTGGATCCGCGCTGGGCCCCCCTTGGCGGCGCCTCCAGCGCCGCCCCTGGCGCGCTGAGCGCGCCAGGGAGGGTGGTCCAGCACAGATGCAAGAAGTCCGCGCGGAGCGCCGAAATTCTGTGTTTATGGCGTTTCTTCTTCTTCGAGTCCAGTTTCTCCTCGGTTCGGTGCCTGGAGGCCCGTCTCTCCGCGACCTGCAGCTCAGGGCTAGAGCCTCACAGTGCCTTTGTTGGCGCTTCCGTGGGCCGTCTTCGCTCTGTGTTCGTCTCGCGGCAGAGGAAGAGCAGGGACAGAGCAAAGGATAACGAGGAATGCTTCTCTGCCTTCGTCGAATGACGATTGGGGGCCAGGGCGCGTCGAGCCGTCTTCGGGATTTTCAAAAAAAAACCTTCGGCGAGTGGGCGGGCCCTCCGAGGTGCACCCGCCCTCTGCCCGGGGCTCCTCCGCCTCTTGCTCGCGCTCGCCGCCCGTCCTCCCTGCCGGAG